GGAATTAGGATAGGCAGTGGAATATACTTTAATAACTGCTATATGCATCTTTATTGTATTTAGAAATGTTGATTTACATCTGTAGATTTTGTTAATCTGCATTATCGTTTAATGTATTGCGGAAAAAAGCGCTTATCAAAATGCAGGTTTCTTGAAAGTCCTGAAAAATAGAAATGGTGGTTAGGGGGTCGTCTACTTCAACTTACCTGAGGTCCAACTTACCTTTCTGAAGTTGGATTATTATAGTCCGCGGCGCGAAGCAGCGCGCACACCTTCAACTTGCATACGGAACAACTTTCTCCCAGCGGCAGCGGGAAACAATTTCAACTACATTTTTCCACTTTCCACTTACCTCTACAAAATTCCTTCACTGCCTATCCTATTTCCCCATCCCCAAAACCCTTCAAACTCCCGTTTCCATAGGACGAAGGGCTGCGACTAGGGTATATGAGGTGCACTGCTTAAACTACCTTTGCCGACTTTTCTCTAGTATCATTAGTTGCATAATGTTCACCCATTTAATCTTTACACAAGCTGTCAGGGTCCCTGGGTTGATAACTTGGTAAAATACCGTTTTTGGGACAAACCACCTGACAGGTAAGGTCTAGAGAATCCTTATGGCTGCTTAGCTTCCTCACTAACCCAAGAAAAGTGAAGGATCTCTGGTTATCCCTAATGTACCTGACAAGTTTCCCAATGTTTGCGCCATGTTAAAAATCCAGCGTATCTGGGTGCAAGAACGTCTTTCTTGCAATTGCACCCAAATACTCTCAAATTTTAACACGGCGGAGCTGCTTTCAGGACTTGGATTGTTCGGATGTTGCCCCTCGCATAATTACAATTGCCAAATATTCTTCCATCCCTTCAATAGAAAACTGCTTTTTTGGACGCGGGTCGGGTTTTTGACTTCCCAAACAACTTTTACCCTACGGGAACTGCGTAGTCATGTCAAATTTGTCAGCCACTTGTTGGAAGCGAGGACGTTGGCTCGCCCACGTTAATTTGTATTAGTCTGGCTCTGAAATGCCTGTTATTTATGCTTGCGTAAAATTACATTTCGTACAAATTGGACTTATAGCCCGTCCAACGGAATGCTGGTTAATCCTGGGGCAGGGATGGACTGTTCACAATCTTGTTAACCTCATTTGTCCGTCTAGTTTCTCCAGCACAGTCGTCTTAAACCATAAAAACCCCATACTGACCCTGGTTTTTGTAATCACCAGATTGTGAACTGTGTTTTTAGTGCATTTGGTAGTAGGTTCATGCTTCATCCGCACTGTATCTAAACAAGACAATTAACAGTGTCCACTTACGTTACAACACTACATTATCGATATAATCTGTTATTATGCAATATTTTTATTGTTTATCGCATACCACTTAAGCTAAAAAAATAGCTGCGACGACGTGTGCGCAGCTCACCTTCTGAATAGATTTTAAACGCATCTCGTCCCGAAGCATACAGACTGTAAAACCCGTGTCATGTGAGAAGTGTTTTATGAATTGGAAGACGGGACAACTGACAATCGACGTCAAACGGATTTGATACCATGCGGATGAGTAACGATATCTCCCGTCGTTCGCTAAGTATCTAATAATAAGAGGTATTTGATTGGAACATGTAGCTGTTGTATATCTTCCCTCTTTGTCTCAGTTCCATGTCTTGTGGTTGTTGAGAATTTTAACCACAAGAGCCTCCGACCTACTTACTGCCTATTGTGATATTTTAGAAGACAAATTGGCGAACATACGTTTATTGTTGATAAATTATCGTCAGGCCTTTGCATTTATACGGTAATTAACTAAATAAAATATGCAGGTTAGTAAAAAAAAATTGTGCGGTTGTCGGGGGAGGGGGTGGGGGATCGGGGTCAAAAATCTGATCAGTGTTAGGGGGGACTGGTAGCTGAAAGACGTTATAAGCTGCGGGCCGTTGGATTAGCGGCTTTCGGCAATGGTAACTGCGGAGTT